ATTCCAAGCTCTGACTTGGAGTCAAGTTTGCTGCGTAGTTCCTTCGGAATGTGATGGCAACCAAGGCATCCAAAAGTTCGGAAGTAACTGACATCTGGTTTCTGAACGGTCATGAGCTCTAGGGATGTGACATCATTTTGTCGCAGCGCGAGGAAATGATTCCGAATCTTGGAAGCGTGGACCACCGCCTCTGCCCAGAACGTACGCGGAAGCCCCGCATGTTCTAACATCGTTCTCGCACACTCGACGATTGTGCGATTTGCCCGCTCGGCAATGCCGTTCTGATTGGGGGAGTAGGATGGTGACATGGTGTGTTCGATACCTTTATCTTCAAGGTAAGATCGTAGTGCAATGTACTCCCCTCCGCGATCACTGTGCACTCGTCTCAAAGTGCATTTGAACTTACGCTCCATCCACGGGTGAAAAAGCTTGAACTTGTCGAGTACATCGCTCTTGCGCATGATTGGGAAAATGCTAATGTATCCCGTGTACTCATCAATGAATGACAGTAATAATTGCAACCAGAAAAGGAAGATACAGACATTGGGCCACACACATCCGTGTGTATCACTGCACCAGGTTCCTGAGACCTTGAATAGTTCGTTCTCAGTGTCTCTCTTGCCTGTTTTCCTTTCACACAACTGTCGCAATCTCCTCGGCGGCCGTGGTTCGGCCTTGCGCTCATTCCGGTGACTGCATCCAATCGAATCAACTTCTTGATGCTCTCTGTGTTAGCATGTCCAAGACGTGCGTGCCATCGTTTCATAACTGAATAGCAGCTGGAACTAGGTGCCCCACCCAGACCCGGTGGATCGTTATCACCGTCATCATTTTCCTGCGACCAGTACGAAGTGGCAACCAAAGCCGACTGAATTCCTGGCAAGATCGGCTGTCCGATAATTTGGTAGATTCCCTGATATTCGCGTCCTTGAAACTGCATCGTGCCATCCAATATGCCATTGCACATGTACCGGCCGAAGTTAACTCTATATCCATTGTCACACAGTTTTGAGCTGGAAATAAGATTTGTATGCAAGGAAGGGACATACAGAACGTCATCCAGGCCAACTAAACGTTCATAGTAATCATTTCCAAAACTGAGTCTCGTCTTCAGTACCAATGAACTGCGATGGGTAGCAAAGACCCTTTTTGCATCTCCCAATACGATGTCTATAGGAGCGATCTTTTCACATCCGCGCAGCAAGTCCTTACGCAGAACCATGTGGTCTGATGCACCCGAGTCAAGAAGAAATACATCTCGCTGGTCGTTTCTGGGGTTCATTCTTGGGCTGAATTTCTTCGCTGTTTGCGCAGAGAATTTTAGCGATGAACAGTGTCGAAAGGGTGCGTCGACTACTGTGGAAACTTCTGCATGAGCTCTAACTTCCACAGAGCCAGTTTCCTTTGAGCCTGCATCATTTTCTATGACATGGGGGTCAGGTGCACTCCTCTGAACGTGCCCTCCATCTTCTTTGCGGGCAATCAGAAGCCTTGCCTGCTGCGCGGATCCCACGCCTGTCTCCGAGTGTCTGCCGAGCTCATCAGCAAAGGCCACCTGCCTTTGTACGAAAAGATTCCTACTGTCCTTCAGATGACAGTCTTTCGCCAAATGCCCGATCTTCCAGCATTCATAGCAGCGTCGCTTCTCAGTTCTGTTCTGTGAGTACTTCCTTCTACGATGGAAAAGATGACGCGCTCCCCTTCCTGCTGTGAGCGCTTGTCCCTCATCCGTAGTCTTCTTTCCTTTCGAACTTCCTGAACGACGGAGCTGTTCTTCGTATTCCTGAAGCAGGCTGGCCGTGACTGTTTACCAATCCAGCTTTTCTTGGATCGTTTGCAATGCCGCAAGGACATGACCAAAGGACGACTTGTTCTTGTCACCAAATGATGCAAGCACCATTGCCACCTGGAAGTCTTCAGCTACCTCACTCTTCATTGCCGCGAGGCGGTTGAAGATTTCTTCAAATGCATCAATGTAGTCCTGCATGGGTTGCCCCGTGTAGCTCATACGAGCCAACTTGGACTGCATTTGTACCTTTGTCGCAGTGTTAGATACTGCGTATCTCTCCCAAAGGCGAACCCACATTCGATACGGATTTCCCTTAGCGCTCAGGCAGAGCCTCAGCGGTCGATCTCCCATTCCTTGAATCAGTACAGCACGCGCAATGGCTGTGTCTTTTCTCTGCCCCTCGGTCAGATTTCCATCTTTTGCAGTGCCCAGAATGTCAGATTCTACAACATACAGTACCTATTTCGCTTGGAGGGCTGCCTCCGTTCGCGCTTGCCAGAGGTGAAAGTCTTCACCAGGCTTTCCGAAATACCTGTAGACATTTTTGCTGTCCTCCATTACTTCTGGAAAAGGATCGAAACACGACGATATGAGCACGGAGCTGATGACCCACGTGATTGTAGTCCTCACGTAACAGTCGAACAATGACAAGGGAAAGGGGGGAAGAGAAATTAGATGCAAAGGAAAATGAAGGGCAGGTAGCGGATAGTTTCAACAACGAGCGTGGGCTGGGCCTATAACCCTTTGGTCGTGGGTTTGAACAGGGTGCTTGTTGAAAGTGGAATTGAACAGTAAGATGAGAGTGTCTTCTTCCACACTCGTAGTTTATTCGGATAGAAGCATTTAAGTACATACTAAGGACTTAATAAACCTGTCAAAACTCAAGGTCAGTATGTGCTGAGCGGTGATGCAGAACGACAACTTGACAGGGACTGATTCTGCACCACCCAATTCAGAGATGTAAATCACTATAAAATACACATCAGTATAATAGACACGGTAGCCGCTAATCTCGTTACTCAATCGAGTGCTAACGAGATTATTTCACATCAGTACAGTATTGATGTGCCAATTCAAATACCTCACCACTTACTCACTTTATGTATTGTAAAACTAAGTATCAAATGCAAGTAAAACCCAGCTTGTCGTATGGATTCTCATTAATCTTTTCGTCGATACCAAGATATTTGATCATCTCTTGAAGGCCTGTCCATCCAATCTGCATCATGATGTCCTGCAGGCCCCACCCAAGAACGTAGTGATGGTACTGGGCGCCTCCGCGACGGGCTGAATGCTCTGTTAACCGACCCGCTGTTCCAATTCTATTGCTCATGTAGGATAGAGTCTCTCTATAAGTAGAATGGAACATGCACTCCTTCACGCAAAGCGCCGCCTTGAAATGCAGGAAACAGGGGACCCCTTCCAATCTTGTGCACCATTAACACAGCAAGACACCGATGCAAGGGATGCAGAGGACATATAGACACATGTACGCCCCTGGAGAACTTGTAGTACCTTGTACCATTACCCGTTTTTGTGAAGGGCAACACACCGAATTTTGGTGAGTCGAGAGCAGAACCAGGGAAGACAAGGTCTTCTAAATCAAGGTTCAGAATCTCTTCCGCTCGCACAACGCTTCCCCATTGCATAACGTTAAGCGTGCAGGCTTCAAACGCCTTGAAGTCAAATAAATCTGCCTTAGTTGGTAGCACGCCTCTCAAAACACGAATGCTGACGTCCTTTATATACATATTGTACAAACTATGGACGTCTTCGTGCGCCTCGGCGAGGGCACGCTCGGTGATATTGACCTTCGCTCTTGTTTGATCATTCTCTAGACGCTTGACGACCTTTTTTAGCTGTGCAGCACGGCTAGGGTTGCCTCGAAAGCGTCCCTCGCCGAGCTCAACGTAGTCGCCCTGTATATGACGGCACTCGAACCCCGGGCTGCACTCAGCGCAGTCGAGAAGGTTGAACTCTGCTGTCACGGCGCTAATTATAGCGGCGCCAGTAGACTTGACCTTGTTGTTGCCAAATCTCTCGTGGACGACGAATCCACAGCGGCTCATTACGAACGCAATTGCCACGCCGACTGGCGACTGCTCTCTGCTCCTCTTTCTGACAGGGTGAAAAGATATGAGCGGGTCGTCGATCGGCGCTTCCACCTCCTGCATGGCATTGCGGAAGGCTTTGATCGTGGTTTTGTACCGCGCCATGGAAGAGTCGGCGAGCAGTTGACGGAGCTTTGCTTGTCCGGCGGCGAGTGCTGCGTCTAGCTCGGCCCTGTCGGGCTGGTGACCCGATCGACCACGCTGGCCCCCGCGGGGTCCCTGAGTGCCACTGCCAGAGCTAATGCCGCGCATCGGATTGGGCAGAGCGGCGGGTTCTCCTGTGCGGGGTCGAGGCCAATGGGATTCCCGACGGTGCGGGCGTCAGCGAGTGTGGCTCGCGAGACTAACGAATGGGCTGCGAGTCCTGTACCGGCAGTCGCGAGAGTGGGGACGGAATACGAGAGTACTGTGTGGGGAGATCACATGCGGAGTTGAGGGGAGACGTTGCTTTGTAATTAAAATTGGACCAAACAGATCATCATTGAATTGACCAGAGTGTCCATTACGTCATACTCACGCTCGTGTCCCTAGCGGACGGCAACAAAGACCTGGATTACGCGCACCTCATGACACGCCTAGCCGTGGAGACCGTGACCGTGCGACAGGTCGAGGACGTCGTGCTGCACGTCGTGTACTCCGGCCTGGTCAGGGCTAGGATGGATCAGAGGGAGAGCTGCGTCTAGATTGTCAGCGCCGTCTGGAGAGATGTGCTGCCGCCGCGGGGGATCGCCGATATGATCACCGTGCTCAAGGGCTGAGCGCAGCGGTCGACGGAGCTGGTGGATGAGATCGATGATAAGATTCATTACATTGCGAGTCGTAAGGCGCGTGTGCAGAAGATCAAGACGGAGGCGAGCCGCAGGGGCCGGCGCATGCCGAACATGGGCATTATCCGCTGAGCTGCGTGCGAGAGGGGGGCGTCTTGTTGGTTTCATTTTATTCGCCGTCAAACTCGATTTCGTTGCCGAGCAGGACGTGCACCGCGAACACCCCGATCGACCCCCACACAAAGTACTGGTGCCATCTTGTCCCTTCGTCCTCGGCCTTGCTTTCCTCCGCCCACTTGGACAGAGTCGCGCGCGCCCGACTCGTCAGGCGCGATGTCCCACGCCTCGTCCTCGACATGTTTTCACCGCACCTCGAGCACGCTATCGCCGTCCAGCTCGCCGACGAGGCGCTCGCCGTCGCGCCAGAAGTACTGCTGCTGCACGCGGCTGACAAACGAGACGACGTTTGTGGCCACCTGCGTGCTGCAGCGGGATGTACAGCAGTGGCACGAGGAAGCCAAACGCGATCACGTCCAGCACGGACGGCTCGTGCTGGCAAAAGAAGCGGCTGCGGTCGCCGAGCCGCGTCGACAGCGCGCCGAGCGCGATGCCCGCGGCCAGCTGCGCGCAAAGCCGCCGCCGCTGGAGAAACAGCACTACGCGGTTGAGCGGGAACGCCGTCTCCTTGGAGAGCAGTCTGTGGTAAATGTCGGCGTAGTCCTTGTCGTTGAGGTAGACCTCGTGCAACAACGCGGGCCCGATGCGGGCCGTGATGAGTGGGCGAACGCGCTCGATTCGGCGATCATGAACAAGGTCAGGTGCGCGTTCGCGTCCAGCAGGGCCAGGTCGGCCGTGAGAGCGCGGCGACGGCGACGTGCCGGGATACACGCAGAACGCGATGTCCGCGAAGCGTAGCAGCGCTATCGCCGCGAGGGAGTCCGGGTCGATCGTCTGCAGGCCCCACCCGCCGGCCGGCGTGTAGATGCGCGCCGTGACGCGCGAGGGGCCGGGAGTGGCGGGGAGGGGACTGGGAGATGGAGAGAAGAAGGAAAAGTGAGTTGTGGTGCGGAGCGAGTGGTGGTGGGGAGCGAGTGGTGTGACAGTGGTGATGCGGCGGTGTGGGGCTGTTGTGCGTTGTGTAAATTACGGGAAATCTCGCTTCCATCCTTCATGTCAACACCATCAACCACAAGTGACCACCATCCGACTTTGATCACCGACCCCCCACTTCCCTCCCGGCTTCCTCCCTCCGTCCCTCCCCTCCCGCTTCCTCTGTACCTCACCTTACCAACTCCCTCCCCCGCCCCACTCGCCCGCGCCGCCCTTAAATGCGTCCCCCATTCATGGAACCTCCCCCCTCGACATTCTCTGCAAAGCCACGGAGACCGCCCACCCCCGCTCTTCCGCCAATCCTCCCCTCCCCGGACCCGTCCCCTTTCGCGCCGCACCCGGCCGACCACGTTCACCACCACCACATGCACTCGCGCCCTGTCCTGCGTCTCTCCTGTTCCGCCCCCGACCCCATGGATCTCCAGCTGCCGTCTGCCCGCGTCGGCGGCGCCTCGGCCCCCGCTACCAGCCCCCGCCCACCCGCTCCCGCTGCAGCGCAACGCTTCCGCCCCAGTCCTCGGCGGCGACAACCACCCATACTCGTGGCACGTCTCCTCCCCCGCCACCCATATCCGCCCCCACGGTCTCATGCCTGCCGACGAGCCTCAGCCGCACCCCTTCCCCGCTCGCCGACTTCCACCGTACCCATTCCGCCCCGCCTGCCGTCACGCTTGACCCCCATTCCTGCGCTCCATGTCTCTCATATGCCTTCCTCTGCCCCGCCGTCGTACCCCGTCGCTCAGGGGCTCCGGCTCCCTCACAAAGGCCAAGATAAGGAGGATGAACCCACCCTGCCCCAGGGGCAGGGTTCGCCACCCGCGCCCGGCAACCGGCGCGCCGTGTCCGCCACATGCCGCTCGTTCTTGCAACGCGCAGCCTCCCCAGTAGCGCCACCGCCATCACACACGCAACAGCAACACGCCCCCCCGCCAGGTCGCCGCATTCGCGCCCGAATTTCCCCCCCAATTCCGACGCAGTCACGCTCCTCACTCGACTCGTCCTTCTCGTCACACCACCCAATTCCCACTCCTAACCCTTCCTCCCCCCTCCCACCACCGCCCTCTCCGCCTCAAAAAGCAGCACCCCCTGCCCGCCGATCTCCTGCCCCACCCCTCCCCTCCGTCACCATGCCAGATGGCAACATCTTCTCCCGCCTCGCTGTCTCACCCCCGCCGACCCCCGCGCCCAAGCACGTCTCGAAGCCGTACTGGCAGCTGCATGTGTCGCGGCGCGAGAAAATTCTGCGCGAGCACCCGTCCGTGTGGAAGCTTTACGATGTGCACTGGCGCACCCAGTTCTATGCGTATGGGTGCATCCTCTGCCAGATGACCCTGGCAAACCTCTCGTGCGATCAGTTCATCGTCGCCATTGTGTGCAGTGTCCGTATTTGGCCCTACGTCAATGCTTGCGTCTTCTGCTTCATGTACGAGGCCACGCACATGCTCGTGTTTCGCAACCCCGTCTACAACCGCCTCTCCATCGCCATCAACGTCGCCATGGTCGTCCCGATCAGCGAGATCTTCCGCCAGCACTACAACAAGCACCATCGCAGCCTGGGTAACGACGAGTTTGACGTCGACGTCCCCGACTGATTTCGAAATCAGCATTGTGGGGAATAGCGCCCCGGGCAAGGCCCTCTGTCTCATGCTCAACATGATCATCCGCCCGACGCGCTCCATGATGCGCCTGCCGGTCGTCGTGGACCGCTTCCTCATCCTCAACTGGGTCACGTGCATCACGTTTGGTTTGTCATCATTTTTGTACTCGTGCTTGCACATCGCAGGACAGTTACAGATGTCATGAAGCGTTCGCAAAAATGTGTTAGGTAGGATGTGTAGTGGAATGGATACGCGAGGCTTCATCCTCCATTAATCATCGCAAGAATTGCACTTGATAGAAGCCGCTTTCAATCTCCCTAAGACAGGGATGAGTGCTAATGTTTAGGATCTGTTCTTAAACTTGATTATACTACTCCCGTTGCCACGCGGAGCTTGCAAACTCTTGAGGTACGCCCGTGACTTTGTGACAGCAGCCTTGCGCCCGCCTTTTTCTTGTAAGGACATCACGGCACTCTCGTATTCCTGTAGTCCACGCTCGATGCCATGGCGTTCATCGCCGAACTCAAACACATGTTTGCAAAAGGCTTCAGTTAGTGCTTTGTACTTTGAATGAGCAGTTGCCCATTTTCGCATGCCGTTTTTCTCGGAAATACTGTAGTCTATCAAAGGCTTCGCTGAGTACGAGGTCTTGTAAAAAAAGTAAGTACAACGCCGGATAAGCACGGGATGCCAGTTGGCTCTGCGACGAGAACTGCTTCTCTGCAGCTTACGATTGCGTTGCCGAGCGTCGACTGCTGATAAGACCTCTTCCGCGATTTTTCTGCATCACTTGCAGCTGCTGCTTGCCACCAGCCTGTCGCGCATTGTTTGGTGGGGAGATTAGGCGCTTGTCGATAACCAGCAGATCTGTAAAGTAACCACTTGCAAATAAAAATAAGAGGTCAGAACTGCAATAATCACCGCGTTGAGCTTCTGCGTTAAAATGAAAGTATTCTCCGAACGTACCTCTTGGAGCGCCAACATTAAAGAAGTTGTTGACGATCGACTGAGACGGTCCAAGACGGCAGCCTGGGCCACCCCCGCGCTCAATGTTGGAGCTCGTGTTTAGCACGGGTCTAGACATGAAACCGAATGTATTCCTAGTTGGAGGCAGCCAAATACGTCCGCCCGGAGGTTCAGCCATGAAATCTATGTCATGTTCGGCAAGAGCAGAACGGGCTGGATCTTTACGGCGAATGAGTGTTTCCAATTGGACTGCGGCCTCAATCACTGCTTCAACACGCAGCATGTTACTCTGATTTCTCCTCATGCCCGCCAGCTCCCTCGGGAGAGGCTGGGATCCACGGGAACTTTTCGCAATTGATGACATTGACAGCGGGGCAGCGTCTCCATCAGAGCATTGGCAACGGCCAGTGCAACTGTAGTACGCAGACGCGCCCGTCTCCCCTCCTCAACGTCTGGCGCCGCGTCCATAGGCGGTGTCATCACTCAGACTTGACGTGCCGGCACCAAGGGACGGTGTTGAGCAAGTGGTGGAGGGCAACGATGGCGGCGGCGGCGATGAAGAAGGATGACAGGAACGTGGGGTCTCTGTGGACGAGGCAGGACGCGGAGGGGATAACAGAGCAGTCGCGTGGAGGGCACGCGACTTCGGGGTTGGCGCAGGAGCGGGCGCGGTTACCGAGCAGGGCGGCGGGTTGGCAGAGTGGCGCAGGTTGTGGCCGTCGGAGTGCCAGTAAGCGAAGATTGCGTGCGAGCGGTTCGACGGGAAGACGGAGAACCAGGCAGGCGAGATGGAGCAGGCGTTGGCCGCGAGGGGGAAGTGCAGCGGGTTGGAGAAGGTCGGCTGGACGGCGCAGCGCTTGCCGTGCCGCTTGTAGGATAATGGATGGCAGGTACTCAATTTTTGAATTTCCCGCACGGGTGGAGACTATAGTCCCCACCCGTGCGGGAAATTCATAAATTTCTGGATGTGTTCAGAAACGGCGACCACGGCGGCGGGAGGGGAGGATGGGTAAGCGATGGGCATACACGTGCACCCCTGTTTGGCTCGCCGCTGGCGCGCCTTTTCGCGGCTCTTTCGGTCTTTTTTCTTTGGCGTGGAGGCCCGCGCCCGCTTAGCCGCGATAGCGGCGCGGCGGGGACGCACGTTGGCGCGGGCTTATCATAACGCTTTGCTTTGTCTTTGTCGCTCTCTCTCGATGCCCGGTCCTCGCTCGCATCCCGGAGAGAGGCGCCCCAAAACGCGCTCGCTCTCTCTCCCTGCCCTGTCCTCACTCGCGTCCCCGACAGAGGCGCCTCAGAAGGCGGTGGACCCCGTGGAAGCCGCGCGCCCCGCTGCGCCCGCGTATGAGCACCTGCCACCCGCAAGACCCCGCGCGACAAACAGGAGCTTTGCCGGCGCAGCAGCTCGCCTGTCACCCGGCGTCGGCACCCGGCATCGTCACCCGCCGTCGCTCACACGCCTCCCGGGCAAAAGTCCACAGGGACGGTGAGTCAGAGGGTGACGCCAGCACGGGGCGTGAGGGAGAGAGTGGTGGCGCCCCAACACTGATAAAATAAATTAAAAATTTACTGTAGTTAGTACATCGCTGGACTGCTCTTTCTGTACACTCGTCGATTCTTCATGTCGCCATCACCACAGCCGAGAGACCTTCCCCAACAACAACAACAAAAAGGTCCCCCCGCGCTCCCGCTTCCCGCGTCCTATCTACACGCACCCCGCTCACACCTTCAAGTACAGGTACTCATACCCGAAGCTCTGCGAGCGCTTGCCAAACCGCTTGGCGACCACCACCGTGCGCCCCTTTCCTGGCGGCGCCACGCACGTGAAGCTGCGCCCCTTTTTAAAGTTTCACACCCCGCGGCACGGCTTCCCGCCCACCGTCGCCGTCAGCGGCCCGCGCAGATTCTACCCGGTCACCGTGATCACGTTACCGCCGCGCTTCGGCCCGCGGAACGGGTTGACGATCGTCACCACCCACCGCCCGGGGTTCTTTTCGTTGGGCAGCAGCACGGCCACCTTGCCCTGGTACACGCGAGTCATCACCACCCCGCCCGTGGGCGACATCGCCGCCGTCAGCCCCGTGTGCTTGGTCAGCTCGAACACCGACCGCACCGTCCCCCGCCGGTTCAGCCGCACGCGGAACACCTGCCCGGCCCCGGACACCGCAAACTTGCTGGCGAGCAAGTCCCCCCGCATCTGCGCCCGAAACGTGTTCGCAATGTACTCGATCAGCCCGTCCGTGCTCGACTACAACGTCGCGATGTGCCGCTCGTATCCACGCATCTTCTTCTGCGGTGGTCGGTGCACGCACTGCCGCCGGTCAAACCGCCCACGGTTCCGGTTGGCGTACCCGTGAAACCCACCGCGCCGCACCTTCTTCAGCGTTTCCGGCTCGGTAGCAACCGGCCCGGCCCCCTTGCAGCTCGTGCTCCGCGCACCAAACTTTGCGTTCGCTCCGTTATCTGTCCCGTAGATGTGCCCGTTCGAATGGGCCACTGAGCAAAACGAGTTTCGCAGTTCGGCCTCGTACACCCACACGTCTCCCCCGACCTTGCGCGTGGTCCCGGGCTTCTTGTACTGGTTGTACCTAATTCTCCCGTAGAACGTTCTCTTCATGATCGGTGCTTGAAGCATTGCGCCCGAGAGCGGCGAGTCTGGCACACCTCCGGGCGGGTCACCAGGCTGGCTTACGCCCGCGTTCGCCCCTCCTCCGACCGTCACCAGCAGGTTTCCATAGTGATCAAACGTCATTCCATTCAGAGAGTGGTCATGATTGGAGACCGTTCGTCCGACACCACCCCACATCGTCACACACATTAAGCCCTGCCGCCGCTGTGGCGGCAGGGGCCGCCAGCGCCGGAACCTCGTCGTCCGCCGAGGGGTGAGAACAGTAGAGAAAGACTCTTAACTATGTTATATTGCGACAACCCGGAGGGCGGGCGAGGCCACAGAGCGGCCGTCGCCGCCCACCGAATTAGTGCACCGGAGTGCCAACTGTAGTCCAGTATTCTTAGTATCCTTCCCCTCTCATACCTCAACCATCGCCCCATCGACAATTCCCCTACAAGATTTACCAGTTGTAGAATGTGATCGCCCCTTTTATTTTCCTACCCTGTGAGCTCCTATCGCTCTTTTTTTACCCTGCATCCGACCTACATCCGGCCCGGTGACCAAGGCTAGATTTGCACATCCTGTTTCACATCCGGCGCGTCATGCCACAGCGGGTAACATGGGGGGTAACATTCGGGCGAGCGGCAAAATCAAGCAACCTGGAGCCATTTGGTACCACAGCGCTGCCAGCATAGCCACGTGTGCTCAATTTGGCCGGTTGCGCGGCCCCGGGTGCGCGCCTGTTACCCGGCGCTTGCGGCGCCCATCTCTGTTACCCGCACCGAGGATGCCGGTTGCTGAATGCGAGTTGCTGATAGAGTCGCGATCAGGAGAATAGGTCCTGCGCGGTCATCCGCTCCGAGACGTTCTAGCCCTGGCCCCGTCTCATTTTTGTCCCTGGTGTTGTGTCCATGACTCAGCTCGCCTGGTATGCCGTGTTGTAGCGCATTTTTATTCGTTTAAATATCATTGGTGCGCCACTGCCAACAGTAGACGAAGCATGATGGAATCGCTACGGGAAATACCTGTCACTGTAAGTCCAGTTATGCTTGTGACTACGTCTTTCCAAAACTTGCACGGACGTTTATAGTTTCGCCTAAAATTTCCGCAAACGTTTTGGCAATTGTTTGCCGATTCTTTTCGGTTTTGTGGAAAAGTGGCTCAGTTGGAAGATATCATTACAGCCAGTCGAGCTGTTTACAAATTGCTTACGTATGGAAAAGCATACGTGCTCGCACGAGCACCAGATCATCACCTCGAGGACCTTTTCATGATTTACTCGTAGAATATGACCGCCCCCAATAAACGGACAGCTATTGATGAAGGAGACTGGTAGTGTAATGCCAGGGTGCACGTCTCCAGAATGTTTCTGAGTTTCGCAGAAAAAGTTGCTCAAATTTTCGGCAGCACTTTGGGAACCTTTGAAACTTCAGAAACATTCATCAACCTTTTCAAAGATGCCGGATCGCATTACAGCTCCGATCGAGGGTGGATGGAAATATTCCATCATTGAGGCCTTGCTTGCAGGATCCAACAAAATCCACCACCGGGACCAATGGGAGTGCCATTTGAGGCGCATATCAGAAAAATCAATTGTCAACCAGGATTTGACGGAGCCATGAGCCCTGGTAATTGGGACCAAATTTGTATGGCTCTGGGTCACAGACTCTGGTGCTCAGGGTTTAGCGGTGCGCAGGGTTATTAAAATGAACAGAGTGACTTACGTGTGTTGAATGGTTTGCGAACCGGTTCTTAAGTTGGACACACTTGGGGTTGCAGGTTGGGTGGCTCTCAGGGTTAGGAAGTCGTTGTGCCTGGCCCCTTTTGCTTTCCCCGTCCGAACGCCGCGCATTTTATAGAAATCGTAGCTGAAACCTAGATCAATACAGTACCTGCTACACTATAATTAACTATCCTTTCATTCTACAACTAGTCTCCATACAGTCGCTTATGTCCTTGCCTTCAATCTCCCCGACCATCCTCTTTAGTACTAGTGGATACTGTACTCCTCCTTTGACAATTCTTTTAGGTATTGCAAAGAAATTATGTTGTAGTTCTATGCCATCCTTTTAAAGAATGGAGGAGCCAGTCCATTCGGGAAGGACACGCGCAGTATGTTTATATAAAGTAAAATTACAAAGACATACATACTGTGCTTGTCCTTCAACCGTTACAACTCCTCCCCCTTTAAGATGGTTATTCGTCCTCGAATAAGCTTGGAGGTGGGTAGGTGATGGAGTCGAGGTAACGTTGAATAGAAAGCTTGTGGCTTGGAAGGTCTTGTTCGTCAATCCATTTGTCTTGAAGTGTGTTTCCTGAGTTTTCTGATACTAAGAAATCGATAGAGTCTTGAGTGCTGCGGTGGGAAATGATGTCAATTGTAGGCGGCATCTTGTCTTCGGTCTGAAATGTAGACTCGCGACCGATAGTTCTTCTATGTTGATGATTGTAGTATGGCTTGAGAAGAGATATGTGGAATGTAGGATGAAGGTTTTGATATTTCTCTGGTAGTTGCAACTTGTATGCGTTTCCGGACGCTAGGATGTCGATGACTTCGAATGGTCCAATGTACTTCGGTGATAACTTTTTGCTTCTTCCTGTCTTGAGTGGTAAGTTCTTCGTCGAGAGCATTACTTGGTCTCCTAGGTGAAATGAATGATCTCTTCTGTGTTTGTTGACTTGTTCGGCGTTTCGTTCGTTCCAAGCTGTGATGGACAGCTTTGCCATTTAATTAGCTCTTCTTATGTTCTCCAAAAACCTTTGTGTGGTCACAGTAGGTGTTTCTGATCCATCAGAGTCGAGGAAGTCAGAAACAGAGAGTGGGTGCTGACCATACTCTAGGAAAAAAGGAGTTTGTTTAGTTGTGTCACTTATGTGATTGTTGTACGAAAACTCGAGTCCTGGTAGGTGTTTACTCCAGTCTCTTTGCGTATAGCTAACAAATCCACGTAGCATTTCTTGCAATGTTCTGAATGCCCTTTCTGATTGTCCGTCAGTTTGAAGATGGAAGGCGGTTGATAAGTTTAACTTGACTCGTAGTAGCTTCATGATTTCCTTCCATAAAGTGCTTGTGAATCTTGTGTCACGGGCTGATATTATCTTTCTTGGAAGACCGTGATGTTTGTATATCTCGTTGTAGAACAACCCTGCTGTATCTTTGGCAGTATGGTTTGATTCAATTGGAATGAAATGCGTGTGTTTCGAGAGTTTGTCCACAACAAAAAGTATAGCAGTTTTGTTCGTATTCGTCCTCGGGAGATCGAATATGAAGTCCGTAGATATCTGTTCCCATTTCTTTAGTAGTGGCGGAAATGGTCTGAATTTCCCAGTTTGTTCTGGGTTAGGCTTTTGGCTTCTTGCCACTTTGGGCATGTCTTGATGTATTCGTGTAGTTCTTTGTTCATGCTAGGCCAATAAAAATGTCTCCTGACATATTGTAAGGTCTTTTTGAATCCTCGATGTGCACCAAAGAGAGATTCGTGATTGTCGTGCAACACGATTTCTCTGATCTTTCCTTTCGGAATACAGAGCCTATTCTCAAACTAAAGGCGGTTTTTGTTCTTACTGAACGGAGCAGTTGGGGTTTCAAACGCCTTCTTGAAATCGGGGTGCTTTCTGTACTCTCGTTCAAGGCTTTTGAGAATATTTTCATCCACCTTTACCGGTGTAAATGCCATCAACTGTTTCACAACACTTGCTGATGTCTGGTGCACTTCCTAGTACTGTCTCGATAATGCATCAGTTACTGTATTCTGCTTTCCCTTGATGTAATCAATGTGGTAGTCGAACTCTTGCATGAATTCAACCCATCTGGCTTGTTTTCGGGATAAGGTTCGTTGTGAATCCAAGTATTTCAATGGGTGATGGTCAGTCAGTATC